CTGCTGCAGCTGCTGCTGCTGCTGTAGCAGCTGCTGCTGCTGCTGCAGCGGGTCGTACATTCTGCTTTTTCTTCGCTTTTGTCCGTTTGAATTTCCCTTTTTTGCGTTTTTTCTTTTTTTGGATTTAATTCGGAGTCGCTGTAAACGTCGACAGCAGAGCGCCACAGCAGCAGCTCCACGTACAGCTGAGTGCCCCCCACCACCACCGGGAACTTGCCCGCCTGGCTCAGCGCTTTGATCTGCAGCAGCAGCAGCAGCAGCAGCAGCAAGAGGTCAAGCATTGTTTTGAATCGAATGAGTGATTGAATTTGAACTTGTCTGCTCCTTCACTCCCCTGGCCCACAGAACGAACTGGACGAAACCGCAGCAGCAGCAGCAGCAGCAGCAGCAGCGGCGCAGCAGCAGCAGAGTGGACCACTGGTCCGGTCCAGTGGTCACGCACGGTGCGCTTTGCTGCTGCTAAGAAGTCCGCAGCAGTGAAGGCCTCCTGGGGGCAGCAAAGGTCCAGCAGGTGGTGCGGAATTGCTGCTCTTTCTGCTGCTGCTGCTTTCGCAGTGCCTATGTCGCAGCCCTTGTAGACCTGAACAACACGCAACACAGCTAGCTAGCTGGCTAGCTAGCTGGCTAGCTAGCCAGCTAGCTAGCTAGCTAGCTGGCTAGCTGTGGCCGGCTAGCTAGCTGTGGCTGGCTGGCTAGCTGCAGCTAGCTGGCTAGAATGGCTAGCTAGTCATAGCTGGCTGGCTAGCTGGCTGTGACGAGCTGGCTAGCTAGCTGTAGCTAGCTGGCTAGCTAGGCGGCTGGAGTGGCTAGCTAGCTGAAGCGACATAGCCAGCTAGCTGGCTGGCTAGGTGCAGCTAGCTTGCTAACTAGCTGCAGCCAACTGGCTAGCTGGCTGTAGCTAGCTGGCTGGCTGGCCGTAGCTAGCTGGCTAGCTAGCTGGCAGAAGTGGCGACGGCCTGAAGAGCTTGCTGGTGTGGCTGGTGGCGCTTCTCTTCACCTAGCAGATTCTGACCATCTGGCACACCCGTTGCTGCTGCTGCTGCTGCTGCTGCTGCAGTTCACCTGCATAGAGTCTGCGCTGACGATTTCCGCTTGGACTCCTTTGTCCTTTAACTTCATGCACAAGTCAAAAGCCAAGCGGGACTTGCCCACGCCTGTGGGGCCAATTATGAACAGCACTTTAGGAAGCCGGTGCTGCTGCTGCTGCTGCTGCTGCAGCGGCTGCTGCTGCTGCTGCTGCTGTTGCAGCGGCATGGCGGCGGCTGCAGCGCACAAACGGGAGCTAGAGGGGTCCCAAGAAGAATATTTCTTTAAATAATTCGTAAACGTAAAAGAAAAAGGAGAAAAAGGTGAAATTTCAGCGGAAAAAATACTTTTGAATCGAAGCGCCGACGCGGCGGAGGGCGGCGCGGTGGATGAGGTGTACGTACATCCCAGTCTTCGGGTGTCTGTGCAGCTCCTGCAAGGACTTTTTGGATTAAAAAATGAAAACTGTTTTCCATTTATATTTATTTTTTGATTTTTAATTGAATTTCCACCTTTAATTCGCTGCTGAAGGGGCCCGGGGGCCCCGGGGGCCCCACGCAGTGCTCCCGCGATGCTGCTGCTGCTGCTGCTGCTGAAATCCAGCGGCGTTTCTTTGAATTGTTTTGAATTTAAAATGAAATTTAAAGAATTTGAATTTGAAATTAAAACAAAAAAGCACAGAAAAAGCAGTACAGACATACCCCGATGCTTTTCCCCCCAAATTCGCAAAAAAAGGACCAAAAATTAAATTCAAAGCCCCAAAAAGCAAAAGTTTAGATCCAAAAGTGCAATTTTAAACAATTAGCTCTCTTTTTAATGATTCAAAACTTCGTTAAAGCACTGGGGCCCTCTCCCGTGGGGCCCCAGGGGGCCCCAGGGGGCTCCCTGGGGCCCTTGGGGCCCCCTGGGGGCCCCCGGGGGGGGCGGCGCGGGGGGGGC